AAAAAAAAAAAAACAAAAAAAAAACAAAAAGGAATTCTTCTTTCCTTCTTTTCACTCTCCAAAACCTTTAACCTGGCAGCAGTTTCCTATAGTTCTGAGTACTTGGCAGGAACTTGACCTAACAAATATTAACATCCACAACATGGATTTCCTGTCCCTGGGCGTGGCCCTGTGGCCCAGCATTCATTACTGCCAGCCTGTACCAGGGAGACTTGCATACTCAGAAATGATGAATGAATTTTAATGTCAATGAGGAAAACAATCAACCCTCCACCCAAAAAAAAAGACTCTCTGATCTTGTAATGTGAAACACTACTAACATAGCTTCTGCTAAAACTGTAAAAATAAGAAAAGGGGCAGAGTGGCTAGCACATCCCCTAACGTCTAAGAATGTCATGCATGAAGGGTATGATACCAGCACGGCTGAAGAACTCACCTGGGCAAACCCATGGGCCTCTCTCACTCAGTCTCCAATTGCTAGGTATGGTACTATCCTAGAGCATGTAGCAGACAGCGATGGTGGAAAGAAAAAGAAAGTAGAAAATTTCCCTTCTGCTAAACTTTCGTACCTGCTTACCTACCTCAAGACCTCTAACTTCTGAGAAGCCACTTTTATCATGGCACGTGTTTTCCTGAGCCATCTTCTGCTGTTTGATATCAAGCATGGCGAGGGCCTCCAAATACTGTTGATTCAAAACTAGGAAGGGCCATGTAAGAAAGTGTTATGAGGTCTGACTCTGGCCTCACCTAATCTAGTTATACCCAACATCATATACTCATTTCTTACAAGCAATGCATATACAGCTGCCATTGCCCACAAAATCTGGCCCCATCCAGAAAATCTGTCTGATAGAATAGTGGGTATCGAGATAATAACTGTAGATAAAATTATTATTATTTTTTTTGGTGAGGAATATTAGCCCTGACCTAACATCTGTTGCCAATCCTCCTCTTTTTGCTGAGGAAGATTGGCCCTGGGCTAATATCCATGCCCATCTTCCTCTACTTTATATGTGGGACACCTGCCACAGTATGGCTTGACAAGCGGTGCATAGGTCTGTGCCCAGGATCCAAACCTGCGAACCCTGCGCCGCCGAAGCAGAGCATGCGAACTTAACCACTACACCACCGGGCCAGCCCCAAAATGTTATTATTTTTAATGTGGGAGTATCTTAACTTTGCAACTGAAGTCTGGTCTTCATTTGCTCTTGGAAAATTTGTAGGTTTTCAAAGAGAAAACTTATACACAGGCTAGTTATTCAGAGATCTTGTGGTTAGTGAGATAACTAGATAATAAGATCTCATGTATTATGTCAAATGTACCAGCTATCCAAACTCTATCAGATTTTTCTATTAAGAGAAAAATAAATCATTTGAGAACAAGAGAAGTCCTGCTATCTACTGGAAAGCAGAAAACAGTAACTTTTCCCCTCTTGTGTCAGGGTGGAGTGGTAGGAAGGAAGGGCGAGGGCTTGTGGTTATGAGTAGCTTCTGTCCCAAGACCTAAGCTAACACAGGAGAAATCTCCATCTGCTCAAATCACTGGGCTTGAGAAGCACCATCTGTGTGTGCACTTCTCATGCAGGGGCATTGCCACAAGTCACTTAGTGCACTGTAGTGCCTCTCTTGGGCCCATGACCTGATTCAGGGCTTATTTTGTCCCCTTCAAGCCACCACTTTAAAATAGTTTCCGCTATTTTAAAGAAGTTTCTGCTTCTATTAAGAAGAGAGAATCAACATCTTCTCTTAAAATTTTACAAAAAGTTGGTACCACCTTAGTATTCTTAAAACTCCTTAATATTCTTTCATTAACTTTTGTCATAAGGTGCCTCATTATATAAGGGATGTGTGTGTGTGTGTGTGTGTGTGTGTGTGTGTGTGTACATATATGTGAAAAATTTCAAGTTCTTAATGAGTCAAATAATATCTTGAAAAATTAAGAATATTTGTTTTAGTAATAAAGTCATAGAAGACACTTTTCTAAGAGAAAATAATGTTGAATAACTATACAATTACAAACTTTTCCTTCTAGTGTCCCAATGAAACACACCTACTCAGGTTCTGCAAACATCAGGTGCTCTACCATTTTATTTTACACGAGTATAAAAACTAAAGAATACGGGGCCGGCCCCGTGGCTTAGCAGTTAAGTGCGTGCGCTCTGCTACGGGCGGCCCGGGTTCGGATCCCGGGAGCGCACCGACGCACCGCTTCTCTGGCCACGCTGAGGCGGCATCCCACATACAGCAACTAGAAGGATGTGCAACTATGGCATACAACTCTCTACTGGGGCTTTGGGGGGGAAAAGGAGGGGATTGGCAATAGATGTTAGCTCAGAGCCGGTCTTCCTCAGCAAAAAGAGGAGGATTAGCATGGATGTTAGCTCAGGGCTGATCTTCCTCACACAAAAAAGAAAACAAAACAAAACTAAAGGATAAAGGAGAATGGGGAGAAATTGCTTAATGGGTATGAGGTTTTATTTGGAGAGATAAAAACTTTCTAGAACTAGATGGTTGCACAACATTATGAATGTTATGAATTGTTCACTATTAAATGGTCAATTTTATGTTATGTGAATTTCACCTCAAAATTTTAACTTAAAAAAACCTAAATGATGCATTTCTCCTCTCTATTGTCCTTTAAATAAATGACTTTGAAATACTAGCAGTTAGTCTATTGATATGTGTTCTTAACATAGGACACTCTATATAAAACATCTTGTAACATAATATTTTTAAAGAGTCATCAAAATACCACTCTACTTACTTGCATTTTCAGATTTCAGCATTTTAATTTCTTCTGTTTTCAGTTTCAAAGTTTCTTTGAGGACTGCATTTTCACAGTTTAGCCTGGAAAAAAAGTACCCTCCAAATAACTAAAACATTAATACTTAGTAGTTGAATGAGAATATTTTTATCCCATAATTAAAACACAAAAACACAAATATAATTTTTCCTACTTTAAAACAGTCTAGAATTTATATATGTCACACAACAAAAACAATTAAAAGCAGTGTGGTAAGATTTTGAACATATTCTTAACCCTTCTGTATACTTAGTTGAGATAGAATCAGAATCAGAAATACCTCTCAGGCATCCATTTTGAATACTCATTCTCTTTACTAAAGTTTTAATCAACTTAATAACCATTTGAACACAAACTATATGCTTAGGCCACCTTCAAAAACTTGCATAAAAAGATACGGAGTAGGTACAAACTTCCAATTGTAAGATAAATAAGTCCTGGGGATGTAATGTACAGCATGGTGACTACAGTTAATAGTACCCTATTGTATATTTGAAAGTTGCTAAGAGAGTAGATCTTAAAAGTTCTGCTCACAAGAAAAAAATTTGTAACTATGTATGGTGATAGATGTTAACTAGACTTACTGTGGTGGTGATTTTGCAATATATACAAATATCAAATCATTATGTTGTACCCCTGAAACTAATACAGTGTATATCTCAATTTTAAAAAAGATGGGGCCGGCCCTGTGGTGTAGCGGTTAAGTGCGCACGCTCCGCTGCTGGAGGCACCACTTGTCAGGCCATGCTGTGGCAGCGTCCCATATAAAGTGGAGGAAGATGGGCATAGATGTTAGCCCAGGGCCAGTCTTCCTTAGCAAAAAGAGGAGGATTGGCATTGGATGTTAGCTCAGGGCTGATCTTCCTCACACACACACAAAAAAAGCAAAATTAAAAAGATACATAGGGAGCTTTATCTATTGAATAAAAATTTGAATTACAAGAGTTCCTAAACTGCCCAGCATCAGAGGCTTAAAAAAATTGTTTTTGTAATTAAAAACAGTAGCCAGATCATCTGGTCAATTTATAACTTTTAATAAAATACTTATCAAAACATTTTGTGTTGATGTTTGTGAGGAATGTTATATGCTCTGGTCTGAATTGGCCTCAGATCATTAAAATGGTGGTCATGAAGCTAAATCTTCTCAATTAAAAGTGAAATGTAAATCTAAGGCATTCTTTTTCCATGAATTATTTAACAAATTAATAAAATGTGAAATAGGTTTCTCAAGCAAGGTCTGTAGCCCTTGAGAAATAAAGCACTTTTGTTAGCACAGCCTCTTCCTAAGACTCTAGGTCTGTGATTTTCAAACTGAATTCTGAATAACTCTAAGGTTATGAGGAAATTCTTCAGATGCTCACAAACATTTTATTAGATCCACCTAAACTACTTGGTAAACTGTAATTTTAAAAAACAACCTACTCAAACGCATTAACTTTGCTATCTTGTTAACTGTTTTTGTGCAGACCTCATAATAAAGCATCTTCTGTCAGCTCTGCTTAATTGAAGAGCATCCTAAAAGGCAATCTATTGACCAAATGGAAATCTGTGCATGTGAATCAGAATTTTCTGGTTTCTGTGCAGCCAAAACAAAATATTAAAAAAGCCCCAAATGGGTAAACAACACTATCAGATTTCCAAAAATTAAAACATATGACACGTTCTCTTGATGAGGCTGTGGGAAACAGGCACTCTCATGCATCTCTGTTAGGAATGCAAAGTGGTACAAGCCTTTTAGAGAGGAATTTGGCAACATCTAATAAATCTACATATGCATTTACCTTTTGACGCAGCAATTCTATTTCTGAGAATTTACCCTGAAAATACATCTCCAACAACACAAAAGTATATAACTCAAGGTTATTTATTGCAGCATTCTTTATAATTGCAACTGGAAATAACCTAAGTGCCTATATATATAGGAGAATGGTTGAGTAAAGTATGGCACATCCCCACAATGCAGTGATTTCCAGGATATATTGTTAAACGGATAAAACAAAGTGCAAAAGAGTCTCTATAGTAAACTATCTTTTGTGTAAGAAAGAAGTAGGAATAAGTAAATATATGTATATCTGCCCATTTGTGCAAACAGAAACACAGAAAGGATAAATCAGAAAAGAATAAGATTGGTTGTCTACAGGTGGTGAGGGGGAGGAAGGATGGTAGGAGGTTGGGAATGGGGTAGAGGGGATGGGGGGAGAGGGGCAGTTCTCTGGGCATACCTCTCTAAATAGTTCTGACATTGGGAAGCATGTCAGTGTTTCACAAAGTCAAAGATAAACAAGATAAATAAGTCAAGGATAGTGAAAAAAAAAACCCTAAAATAGAATAAATAGAAACAAATGAATTAGCATAACCATAATGAAGGGAAAAAAGAAATTAACAAGTTTTGAACACAGTATTTTGATTATATCCCCTTAGGCTAAAACTAAAACTGTAAACAAATATTGAACTCTAGTATAGTAGGTTTGATTTTACAGTGGTATGTGTTAGCAATTCTAAAGCTACCTTCTGCATATTCTCTGATGGAACAAATTAGTAAACATATTGGGTAATAAGAGCCAGGTTTCTCACTGTGGAAGTTACAAATGTGGAAAGGGCAAGGCTAAAATGAACCCTGTGGTGGCGGTCTGCACTTAGAGATATGGGTATGAACTCAGGGTTTTGCATAGACTGACAGATGGATGATAGATAGATAGATAGATAGATAGACAGACAGACAGATAAATGTCAGAGAGAGAGATGACAGAGAGAGGTGTATGTATGTGTCAGAGAGTGTGTGTGTGTGTGTGTGTGTATGTGTGTATTTTCCAGTCTGTCCTCTAAGAGGACCTTCTAACAAGGATTCCCCAGTAGCAATGAGCACACCTAGCACTCATATCTTGATTTCTAAACCCCATTTTCCACTAAAAGGAACCAGGGATCCTTGAAGAAATGCCTAATATGGTAGGCAAACTGGCCTAGACTATCTTTTTGTACTAGATAGCTTTTGTACCAGAAAGCAAGAAAGTGCTCAAGGAAAAACAGGGAGGTGTCAAAAAGCCATAGGAGACAACTTGAAAGGGCTCCCATTCACCAAAGTTGGAAAATTTTAAGCATCAAAAGAAATTATGATAGTAATGGCTTTTAACCCAATGAATAATGCCCGAATCCATGAATTCATATTGGTGTAAACAAAGGGGGAGAAGAAAAAGCTCTTTTCTACAGTAAAATGCCAACAAATAAGGGCCAGCACGCGGTTAAGTTTGTGTGCTCTGCTTCAGTGGCTCAGCGTTCGCAGGTTCGGATCCCAGGCGTGCACCGACGCACCGCTTGTCAAGCCATGCTGTGGCAGCGTCTCATATAAAGTAGAGGAAGATGGGCACAGATGTTAGCCCAGGGCCAATCTTCCTCAGCAAAAAGAGGAGGATTGGCAACGGATCTTATCCCAGGGCTAATCTTCCTCACACACACACACAAAAAGGCCAACAAATAAATGTAGAAGGAATAATGGCATTAGAAAATTACCATTTGGCAACCATCGTAGTAATAATTGCTTCAGGCAGAATAATCAGTAGATGTAAAAACTAGTGGGTGAAAGTGTAACTCACAGTACATTTACATAATCTCAAAGTATCTCCCCACAGGGTGCTTATTAATCACAAGGGGAAAAACAGTGACTTTATAGTGGAGAAGAGGGCAGACACCACACCTGAACCAAGTGTTCAAGGTTCACATCCTAGGAATGGGACAAATCAACATCACATGCCTCCTGATACGATGCACTAAGAATACAACATTGGGGCCACGTGGCTTAGCGGTTAAGTGCGCGCGCTCCGCTGCTGGTGGCCTGGGTTTGGATTCCGTGTGCGCACCGACGCACCGCTTCTCTGGCCATGCTGAGGCCGCGTCCCACATACAGCAACTAGAAGGATGTGCAACTATGACATACAACTATCTACTGGGGCTTTGGGGGAAAAAAATAAATAAATAATCAAAAAAAAAAATACAACATTGCTTCCATGATAATACTGCCCAAAACGCATAACCCAAACTTAATCCAGAAACACCAGATATCCCCACTGTGGGGTATTCTATAAAATAACTGGCCTGTCCTCAAAAAATGTCAAGGACAAAGAAACACTGAATAATTGTTTCAGATTAAAGTAGACTAAAATTTAGACATGGCAACCAAATGCCATGTGTGATTCTGGATTGGATCCTGAAGCAGGGGAAAGCTTTTTCTCTTTTGCTTTAAGGGCATAATTAGGATAATTGGCAAATCTAAATAAGGTCTGTAGATTAAATAATAGTATTGGGTTAATGCCTTGATTTGGATAATTATACTATGGTTATAAAAGAGAATGTCCTTTTTTTAAAAAATGGAACTGAAGTAGTTAGAGCAATAGGGCTTATATATGCAACTTACTCTTAAACGGTTGAGGAAAAAAATTCTATCTACATCTATATATTTAACTACAAAGAGAGAGAAAGAAAGAGAGAAAGAATGATAAAGCAAATGTAAAGAGTTAAAATTTGGAGAACCTTGGAGAAAGATATATAGGAATTCTTCGTATTGTTCTTGCAACTTTTCTGTTAGTCTTCAATTATCTCACATTAAAAGTTAACGAATAAATTAAATTAGGTACTAATGCCATCTATAACCCCAGATATCAAAACAATTTCTCAAGGATTGACTTTATAATAAATGTATGTTATAATTTAAAGTTATTAAATAAATTCCCACTAATAAAAGTGTTGCTCAAAAGATTCTGTTTGAAAAAACAGTGCCAATCCTAAAATAACTTGGAAAACATGACTGTTACACTATATTTTAAGATACAGTTTATACCATAATTTTTTCTAAAAAAATTAACACTAACAGAAAAATATGGAACTGGTAAGTGGATAACCAATAAGAATTTTATAATATTTATAGTGAGCTCAAAGAGGACGAAAGCCTAAGCTATATTTGAATTACACACATTTTAAAGATTTCCAGAGAAAAACTATGGAATAATAATATACAAACCTGTCATATTTTTGGGTCCAAGATTCCTCTATATTTTTAAATCTATTCTGATCAAATTCTATTTCCCACTGCAAGGCATTTATTTCCTATAGAAAGAAAATAGCATTTTCATGGAAAATTACTAAAATAAATCACTTGAAGCTATTGTGAATAGCTGAAATAAATTATTTAGTCATTTCACAGAAATAGGTTAAAGAGAAAAAAATTATTGTTCAAAGAGTCTCTGACATTCATAAACACATATAACAGGCCTCTTTAGCACTCAGAAAACCATTGCCAAAGCTTACTTATCATAGGAAACATTTCAGATTGTTTAGCTTCAAAATTTGCTGGCCCAAACCTAGTGAGATTTCTCATCACCCCCGCCCCCAACCCGTGCAGACCCCACAAGCAAAATACACTCCTGGGGTCTGAGCCCAGGACAGTCCCAGCAAGGGAGGGTGCAACAAGCACAGACATGTGACTGTCTCAGGTGACTTCTAACTACTTTTTCAGTGATGATGAGATGGTCAGAGAGAGGCAGGCTCTGCCAGGCAAGCAGAGGAAGAAAAAAAGAAAAAAGGAGAAAATAGGAAATGTCAGTTTGGCAGGCCTCTTAATAACTTAAAATGGGGAAATAAACCTTAATTCTTTGCCCATGTGACAATCTACTTTGGATTGTAAGTGACCAATGAAAGGACCACTTGAAAAGTGAGGTGACCAAAAGGGAAGTGGCCATTTGAAATTGAAGCACCACTAGCAGAGGGGATGCACAAATGACATATCCATTAGTATGGTGATTTTAAGCAAATGCTATTTGAAAGCTTATTAGGTTGAACAAGTCCATGCTAAAAGTGGCAAATACCTTCTCCAAGGATCTCTTTTGTTCCATAGTTTTTTGAAGCACTGCCTGGGTGTGACTTGTGGCTTTGCCAAATATTGCCTAAGAAAAATAAAAACTGTATCAGTATAAATTAAATTTCTAATCACTCCTATATGCATGGTGAAGTTCATATTTTCATTTTAAAACAATAGAAAATTAACTTGAGACAAGAGTTTCCACAGAGACCACGTTTTGTGGAGAGTTTGCGAGTTCAAAAGTCAGAAGACTATGGTTTAGCTCTTTCCCAATGAATGTGAGAATGAATAAATGAACTTTCCACACAAAGACCTGCACATGAGCGTTCATAGCAGTGTTATTCATAATAGTCAAAAAGTGGAAGCCCAAATGCCCATCAAGTGGTGAATGGATAAACAAAATGTGCTATACAGTATCTATACAAGGGACTATTATTTGGTAATAAAAAGGAAGAAAGTACTGACACGAGCCACACCACGCGTAAACCTCAAAAACATGCTAACTAAAAGGAGCCAGATACAAAAGAATCCAGACACATATTCTATGATTCTATTTATATGAAATAGAAAAGGCAACTCGATAAGACAGAAAGTCCATTAGTGGTTGTCTGGGGTTGGGGATGGGGATCAGGAGTGACTGCTAACGTGTATGAGGTTCCTGTTTTGGGGTGTTGGAAATGTTCTAAAATTTGTGGTGATGGTTGCACAACTCTAAGCTTAGTAAAAATGAATTGTATTGTATGCTTAAAATGAGTGAAATTCATGGCATGTAAAGTATACCTCAATAAAGCTTTAAAAAAAATCTATACCTCAAAAAGAAAATCAATTATATTAAGCACTGCTGCTTCTGTTTTAAAAGCTAAAACCATACCACTTATTACTTAAATGTGTAAGTGATGAAAGTTTAAAAATAAGTTCTTACCATGCTTTGAAGAATTTTCATTGCTTCCTGTTTACCTTCAAGTTGTCTTTGAGATGCCTCAAGTTCAGTTTTTAAAATTTCTACCTCCTGAGGACAGAAATAAAAATTAATCTTCCCATCTGCAAGATTTGCAACCCAAAATGATCAGTTTGTATGGTTTACATTTAAGCTCAACATGCACTTTGACCCAAAGCACTGTGACCTTACAAATGAGATTGGAAATTCTTCTAGGGTTTATAAGTGGACCAGAAACGCTAAAATTGAGAGCCTCACCATCAGGTGCCAGTTGTGACTAAAAGCCCAAATCTTTTGCCTTTACCCATCTAGGCCACACAGCTAATAGCTTGAAAAAAATCTTTGGACCACATAAAATAAGCACATGATCATCCACATAGCTACAGTAGCTGTTGTGGTTTGAATTGTGTCCCCCAAAAAGATAATTAAGTCCTAACCCTTGTTACTGTGAATGTGACCTTATTTGGAAATAGGGTCTTTTCAGATGTAATTAAGATGAGGCCATATGGATTAGGGTGGGCCCCAATCCAATGACTGGTATCCTTAAAGATGAGGAAGATTTGGACACAGACACTCAGGGGAGAAGGCCATGTGATGACAGAGTCAGAGACTAGAGTGATGCAGCTACAAGCCAAGGACTGTCAAGGATTGTCGGGAGCAACCACCAGCTAGGAAGAGGCAAAGAAGGATTCTCCTCCAGACGCTTCAGAGGAACATGGCCAACCATCACCTTGATTTTGGACTTCTAGCCTCCAGAAACAAGAAAGAAATAAAAAATTTTTTTGTTCTAAGCCACCAGTTTGTGGTACTTTGTTACGGCAGCCCTAGGAAACTGATCAAGTAGCTTTCACCAGAAGAGTCGCAAACACACACTAAGATGGGCTCTCTGTTTCCCTAAAGATAGGCACCCCTCACAGAAACTCCTCCTCCCAGCAGGCTGGACGGCCCCTCAGGCCACCGAGGATACATTCTGGTCTTCTAAATTCAAGGAGGTGAAATTTTTAAGTCAGGTTATTTCCAGCCGCACATACAGGGAAGACAGATGGAAGGAAGTGATGAACTGTTTTCTCCAGGGGGAGATTAGAGAAGTAGTAGAAGATTAGGGGCAAAAGGAGAAATAAATAGCTTTTCTGAGAGATGAGGAGGATAAGAAGCAGAGGAGGCCAGTCGAAAGGTATGAACTTCAGATTGTGGCTCGTCAGGACTATCTGGAAAGCCAATATTTGCCTTTCAGACAATTTTAGCATTACATAAAATATCTATCAGTGGACTTTATTCACATGAGAATTTTTCTATTAGCCAGAGTACCTACCTCTAAAGTTTCCTGAAGACGTTGCTTTAATTCTACATTTGACAATTCTGAATTAGAACCTATTAGGGAAAAAAAAATTGAATATTTTCTTTAACTAGTTAAAGACAGTAAATTTGTTTACAAAATATCAAGTACAGATTTCTCCTAAATTGCAAAGAGGAAATAATCATAATAAACCAAATAATGATAAAAATAGGTACCTTAAAACATTTCACAAATGAAAAGACACATACTTTTGAATAAAAAGACTCTAAAAAAAGGACCCTAAAATAAAACTGTTGTTAATAAATTGGTTAATTACTACATCCAAACACAATATTAAAAAACATGAATGTTGGTGAGTGAAATAAATAAATTTTGGTGTTTGGCTTAAGTTTGATCAATATAGTGAAATGAATATCTAAGAAATAACCTGAATTTAATTTCTTTCCAAGGAGAGTGACTAGAAGTCTCCTGTAACTTCAATTATTCTCTCCTTAATGTGATCAATTGAGACATGAAACTGAGCTTCCCAGGAGCTTCGTTTTCCTTTCAGTCTCACTGGCAATGGAAAAACATTAAAGTGGTAAATTATAACAAGAGGATAAGATGAAATAAAAGGAAGAAAAAAATTTTAGAAAGAATATTTTGAAGGACATTAAAAATTTCTCAAAAAACTTTTTTCTTTGCTATTCTTTCACCAACACGACAGTACTGAAGGCAAAACCTAAATCATGTTTTCACTCTGCTGATACAGGTTTCCAAGGAGGGGCAAAGCTGACATTGGGCTGGCAATGATAGGTTTTGTTCTGTTAATACCTGTAGTAAGCAGAATAATGGCCCCCAAAGATGTCCACATCCTAATCCCCAGAACCTGGGAATATATGGCAAAAGGGACTTTGCAGGTGGGATTAAATTAAGTGCTTGGGGATAGGAGATTATCCTAGATTACCCAGATGGGCCCAATGTACTCACAAGAGTCTTTATAAGTGAAAGAGGGAGGCAGGAGAGTCAGTGTCAGAGATGCAGCATGAGCAAGACTCAACCAGCTATTGCTGGCTTTGAAGATGGAGGAAAGGGACCACAGGCCAGGGAATGCAGGCGGCCTCGAGAAGCTGGAAAAGGCAAGGGAATGGATTCTCCTCTAGAGTCTCCAGAAGGAATGTAGCCCTGCCCACACCTTATTTTAGCCCAGTGAAACCTGATTTGGACTTTTGACCTACAGAACTGTAAGATAATAAATTTGTGTTGTTTTGAACCATTAAATTTCTGGTAATTTGGAAATTACCTACTAGTAATAGGAAACTAATACAATATTCTTACCTAGAATCATATCAATTTTGATAAAAAGACAAAAGTCCATAACCCAACAAAATAGGAGCTCATACTATTACTATTACATCCTGTTTATATCCCAGTGGTTTCCTCATGTTTTTACAAAGGCATCTTAGCATCATGTCCAGTTTTCAACATCTTGCTTGCAAAACAGTATCCATCATCTATGCATGAGAAGGAATTTGAAGAAAAATATATAAATAATCCCATCCTAATTTCAAGAAAGATTTTGAAAGATGGGGCTAGATCTCCAGCTGCAACATGTTTTTTGTAAATCTGAAACCATGTTTTTAAAATTATTTTGTGTTGTTCTAATCTGTGTTTGTTCCACTTTGGAGGGGGAAGTTTTACAACGTGGATTACAAAAGATTCAGCCACACGAGAGCGGTGCCACAGTGCAGACATGGACTTATCCTTGGGTTCCCAATCATTTTGGAGTTGTAACATTCTATCACAATATGATTCTGAATTTTCTTCTTTCCTTAATTTAAGGCATAATTTATTTTTGGATATAATAAATTAATATTAATTTTGTTTTGATAATTTTTGAGGATTTCATGATATCCCTAAAATAAATGGAAGCATATGTGTTCTGTCCGGAACACTCCTTCCTCAGATAAGCACCTGGCTTGGGCATCAATTCATTCTGGTGCTCAAATGTCACCTCCTTAGAGAAGTCTCCTCTGACCCTTGCCTGAAATAGCAGCACCCTGGCCCTCCAATCACTCACTATCCCTTCACTGACCACTGACTGATATTATATAGCTGTTGATTTTGTAGGTTTATCTTCTGTCTCTTTTTCTAGAATGTGAACTCCATGACATTAGGGCCTCTGACTATTTTGTTCCCTGATGTTATTCTCAGAGCCTACAACTGTCCTGGAGACCTGATAGGTACCCAATAATATTTGTGGAATAAGAAAAAAAAAAGGATAAATGAAGCATACCACTACATCACAAAAAAACCAAGGTAGGCAGTCATTTACTGATATCACTAACAAATAGGTATTAATGCAGCATATAACTACTGTACTTTGCAATTTTACAATACTTGGAAATAGAAACATCAATTACTTTTGTACTATCACCAATCCTAAGAAATGAATAAATATAAATTTCTAAAATCCACTATGGTGACCCGCTTTTGGGTGTTGACAGGATGACAGCGTTGATAAAATTCACGGGGAGAAGGAGGAGGAGAGGACACTAGGCTTTCTTACCGGTGCTACTTTGTCGTCTGTAATGGGAAATTCTGGACCCTTCAGGAGATGTATCTTGCAAGCTCTTATGCTGGGAATACTGAACAATGGCACCACTTTTTTCTTCCCCATTTCTCATAAATGGGGGAGGGCTAAAGTTCTTTCCATCTGATCTTTTCCTAGATGTAAATAAATGTGAAGCTTGCACTTCATAAACACTGCCGGGCCTTCTTCCGTGGCCATACCCTAAATCGCCTTCTGCCATGTCATCCTCCTCTGTTTCCCAGGTCTGCACCACTGCCTCACTCGGCGGCCTCGCCACCCTGCTCATCAGTCAGATGCCGTCTTTACCATAAGGAAAAAGAGATTATCTGTGGTTAAGAAAAACAGTAGTTAAAAAGCCGTCATTATGATAAAAATTGGGTTTTCCAGGAAAGAAAAGTTTCTGTATTATGCAGCATGACTGTCCCAGCGATGCACCAGAACACAACCGCCACTTGCAATCCCATTCAAGGTATTTAACATTTTGGGGCTTTTTAGGTAAGGAAAAAATCTAACTTCTTATTTCAAAGATTGCAGTGCACTGTAAGGAAGCAGGAAGGGCTTTTATCGATTCCAATAATCTACTCATCACAATAAAGCAGGTCAGCCTTTGCCAAGGAAACAGAACACTCTTGACATACGAGCTTATAAAGGAAAAGGTTTGATTTTCACAAGCCTAAGAGCTATATAAAATTCAGCAAAGTCTCTGAAAAACCAAACTTCCAGTGACTAAGACCATCCTGCCTCTGTCCCTTCACGGCCCCCTATCCACCTCAGGTGCTCCGGGCTGCTACAGTCTCCTACAGCTCCACTCGGTTCGTCCGCTATTTCTGGGCAGACACAATTAGCAGAGGTTTTCTATTTGGGACAGTGATTGGTGGGAGAGAAGAAGGTGCCCCTCCCTCTCTTTCTTTCTCAAATCATGCCACACCCGTATTCAGAACCCTCCACTGTTTCCCAATGCAGTCAGAGTAAAAGCCAAGGCCCTTTCAATGGCTCATCTCTGCCGCCACCCTCATTCTAGTCTGGCCACCTTGGCCTTCCCAGTGTTCTCCACTGTGCCAGGCCTTCCTGCCCAGAGCTTTATGTTCCCTCTGCTTGGAATGCTCTTCCCCCAGACAGTTGCATAGGACTTTTTCCCCTTCCATTTAGTCAAGAACTTTCACTTTTTCATTTAAAGGAACCACTTTGTGGCTTCTCTTTGGCATATCCGAAGTGCCAGCATCACTACTCCTGTGCTGTGGGGCCATTATTAAGTAAAATAAGGGTGACTTGGACACAAGCACTGCGATACCACGACAGTCAATCTGATAACCAAGATGGCTAAGTGACTAACATGCAAGTAGCGTATTCAGCGTGGATACAGTGGACAAAGGGGTGATTCACGACCAGGGCAGGATGGAGCGGGATGGCCAGATTCCACCATGCTACTCAGAATGGCGCACAATTTAAAACGCATGAATTGTTTACTTCTGGAATTTTCTATTTAATATTTTCAGATGGCAGGTAACTGAAACTGCGGAAAGCAAAAGCATGGATAAGGGGCGACTACTGTACTATTATTGTTTAAGAGTAGACAAACTGAAGTACAGAGAGGTTAACACAGCTAACAAGAGAAAGAACCAGATTCTGAATCCAGACCCCTGTCCCAGTGGTCAGAGCCACTGATACAGTCTTAGCTGCTGCTTTCTATCATATGGAGAATTTCAATGAGCTTAATATCAGAGTAAACCAAGTTTCTATTATTTATGACACCAAATAGAACTGAAAGTAAGTCTAAAATAGCTAGTGGAGGGCCGGCCCTGTGGCTTGGTGGTTAAGTGCGCGCGCTGCGATGCTGGCGGCCCGGGTTCGGATCCCGGGTGCACATCGAGGCACCACTTCTCTGTCCATCCTGAGGCCGAGTCCCACATACAGCAACTAGAAGGGTGTGCAGCTGTGACATACAACTATCTACTGGGGCTTTGGGGGCAAAAAATAAATAAAAAATCTTTAAAAAAAAAAAAAAATAGCTAGTGGAGCAACATTCAACAGGGTCTATTGGACTCATTCTTTTCCTCAAATTTTTATAAAATCATCTTGGTTTTTTTACAAGGTTATTTCCTAAATAAGTAAGTTTGTCTATTTTTATTTGTCAAGGTAGATAGGAGATTATTTATTGAATCAAAGAATAATCCCTAAGAGGCTGTGTCTCCCCTCTAGAGCAGTAGATTCCTGCTTGTAAATGCAACCGTACACCTCTGTTAAGGAGGGTGTGGTCAGGGTTAGGCAGCCAGCAGTGAAGAAAATGGAATTGGTCAACACAAAGGAAAAAAGCAGTAAGAGGAAAGAGTAAGCAATCGAGGGATTAGCTAAAAATATTTTTTAATGCGCCACATATATTCAGGCATCATGGGTACTTCTTCCTGCTGTTCAGAGTTGAACGTAATGAGCTTCCATGTAGTCCAATGGTCTGCTGTTTTTTAAAATGTAACTTTGGAATCTGTTGGCTGTGTACTCTCCCACTTTTTATAAGCTGATAGTAATATGAATATGTAATGCAGTACAAATTACACTTGACTTTTGGAATACATTTCTTCTAAGAAAGGGAAAATATTTGAAGTTACTAATGTTCCATTCAACCAGTTTAAATGCATTCAGTGTTGACAACCAGGGGGGCAGCAGAATGTGTGAGAGAGAAGCCCTGACTCAGGAGGTTTGGGTTCAAATCTTACCCCACCACTTGCTGCTCTGTGATCCTAGGCAAGTCCTTTAACTTCTTCCTTTTTTTTTTTGGTGAGCAAGATCAGCCCTGAGCTAACATCCACGCTAATCCTCCTCTTTTTGCTGAGGAAGACTGGCTCTGAGCTAATATCTATTGCCAATCCTCCTCCTTCCCCCCCCCCCGCAAAGCCCCAGTAGATAGTTGTATGTCATAGTTGCACATCCTTCTAGTTGCTGTATGTGGGACGTGGCCTCAGCGTGGCCGGAGAATCGGTGCATCGGTGCGCGTCCGGGATCCGAACCTGGGCCACCAGTAGCGGAGCGCGCACACTTAACCGCTAAGCCACGGGGCCCGGCCCAAGTCCTTTAACTTCTTAGAGCCTGTTTTCAAATCTCCAAAATGGGTTAAGCAAAACTGTTTTATAGGGTTATTTTGGGCACCATCAATATAATATATTTGAAATCAATGTTTATTGAATTAGAATTTGAGTATTAGTTTCTTCATTTGTGAAATGAAGGAATTGGATAAGATTTTTTGGTTCTTTAGAACTCTCAAATTCTGGTTCTATATCAGCATTTTCCAAAGTATGTCCCATGGAACTAGCTGACCTATTAGCAGTTGCTAGGAATAAAAGGGTTCTTTTGGTTTTATTATGGGATGTGTTTTCCTATGCCAGTCCAGACATACATGACTTGCCCAAAATTACTCAGGTGGTGGCAGAGCCAAAACTAGAAACCATGATCTCTGGCTCCTGGCCCAGTGCTCTGGGAAAGGCCATAGGATGAAGAGATTGCAGACTGTGGGCAATCTTCTGACTTTTCCACTAAAACACTTCTTAGAAAAGTGACCAGTGTTTTCCTAATTGCTAAATCCAAGATCTCAGCCTCCTCCGCCTCTGCAGAAGCTGTGACACTACTGACACCCAGGCCCCTGGTCCACCTCGGCTCCTCTACCCCACAGGAGTCCCCGACTGCCTCATATCTGCCTGCTCATGCTCCTTTTCCTCTTCCTGTCCCTTTTGTATATGTTTGTCTTCCACCCTTAAACACTCTTAAATATCCATCTCCAGCTGCATGTACTGCCAGCAATTCAAACACAGCTTGTTCAAAAACAAATTTATTATCCTCCCCAACCTCTTCCCACGTCTCCTCCTGAGTCCTCTATTTTTGCAAATGCATCAACCATGCTCCAAAACACCCAGACCCAAACCTTTGGAATTTTTTTTTCCTCTATACTCTCTTTGGTCCCTTCAGTTGCCAAGTCCTCTAGGTCCACAAAATCTCCTAAAACCATATGCTTCTTGGGCCAGCCCCGTGGCTTAGCAGTTGGGTGCGCGCGATCCGCTGCGCCCGAGTTCGGATCCTGGGCGCGCACTGACGCACCGCTTCTCTGGCCATGCTGAGGCTGCGTCCCAAACACAGCAACCAGAAGGATGTGCAACTATGACATACAACTATCTACTGGGGCTTTGGGGGGAAAAAAATAAATAAAATTATAAAAAAAAAAAACATATGCTTCTTTGCGCATTAACTTCACAGCTCTGGCTGAATTTCTCATTACGTCTCTTGGGCTAAACCAATAGTTTCCTACCTGACCTATTCTAAGCCATACTACACACTGCTGCCAAGTCAATCATCTCCAAGCACAGATCCAGTGATGTCCTTCTCTTGCCCTACAACATCCCATGGCTCCCATGGCATATATAATTAAAGTAAGTGTCACCCTGTTTTCCACAAGGAGATTTCAGTTTTCACTCCCTGTTTCATTTGTCAGTACTCCCGGGGCAGGATCTGTGCTTCCACGTAAGAGGGACTGCACCTGTGCCCAGGCCCCCTCAGCTTGGTCACCTTCAAGCCTCTGCTGGTACCATTCTCCACATCAGGAATGCTCTGTCCTCTCAGGTCCCCCTCAGTTCATGACCGTCACTGTCTCCAGTAGCCTTTCTGACTCCCGTGGGCCAAAAGTGATTTCTCCTACCTCTGAGCCCTCCTAGCTCTGTATTACACTTTCTTAATAATCCTTACTTCCTACCTTTTTGGTGTAGTGGTCAAGATTCGGCGCTCTCACTGCTGCTGCCCGGGGTTCATTTCCTGGTCAGGGAACCACATCACCGTGTCTTGTACTGTGACCGGGGCGTGTTGCTGTGACGCTGAAAGCTCTGCCACAGGAATTTCAAATACCAGCAGGGTTACTAACGACTGACAGGTTTCATCAGAGCTTTCAGACTAAGACAGACTAGGAAGGACCTGGCCACCCACTTCCAAAAAAACTGGCCATGAAAACCCTAGGAATAGCAGGGGAGCATTGTCTGATACAGTGCCGGAAGGTGAGAGAGAGGATGGCAAAGAAAAAAGACCGGAAAAAGATGGGCTGGGTTCCGCTCTGCTGTACACAGGGTCACTGGGAGTCGGAATCCACTGGATGGCACTAACAACAGACTTCCTACCTGACTAAGGTTTCGATTGCACACACCCCTAGCGCAGGGAATATTTGTCTCATTTGCTTGTGCAAAACAGGCGTTCCAAAGATATTTGGTGGACACAATTGAAAGAGAAAACAGGTTTCTATTTATGTTTTTACACGCAGGGCTGCCCCTAGACCCACTGCAAGGCACAGCACGGCTGCTACGGCACTCGCTGCTGCTGAACGTGGCGGGCGGGGCGGCCCCTGACGAACTGCGAAGCGTGCGCGCGGCCGCTGCGGCGCACTGGTGGGCGGGGCCGGCCCCTGTCGCCTCCGGGCGCGTCCGTGGCCGCTGTGGCGCGTTGGTGGGCGGGGTTGTTAGGGTGCCGGGCGGGGCTCTCAGCCGCTGCGCCCACTAGTGCTCGCAGGTTCGGGGGAGAATTCCAAAATGGCGCCCGGCAGCGCCGCATTAGTAAGGAGTTGTGGGATTGCACAAATGTCTCCTGCCGGTGTCTCAGTCCAGGGGAGAGTCCCAACTGGTTCCTGCGTCTCTGGCAGAAGCTTTAACGTTAGTAAATGGGTCTCTTTTACCTGTGTTCTTTGCGCTTTTCCAACTAGTGTTTTTGCGCTGGTTTCTGGGTCCAGTGAGTCTTCGCGAGCCCTTTAAAGAGCGGGTTTTCCATTCCCTACGGTTCTACAGTTTATAGTTTCCTGGATCCAATGCCCTTTGGTTTTTAAAGTCAGGTGTTTTGGGGGCTGTCTCTCTTGTGGAGATCTGAGGGTTGGGTTTCCTGATGTGGAGCTCGCAATCCCTTGCTCAGAGAAGAGTTGAGATCCCTCCTGCTTGTGGGTGGCTGTGGTTGGGGGTGGTTTTTTCCTCAGCTAGACCATTTTTCTGCTTCTCCTGTCGCTCTTGATTTTATCCTTTTATTCTTTGTTGTGGAGGCTCTGTTCATCCAGTTTTCAGGTCCCTATAGTTCTAAATTTGCTGTGTCCGTGGTAGGAGGTGAGTTCAGGATCTTCCTACGCTGCCATCTAAAATCCTCTTCCCTGCTCATTTTTAAATTTTTTTTTTGTTGTTGAATTGTACTTGTTCCTTATATATTCTAGATATTAATCCCTATTTAGATATATAATTTGCAAATATCGCCTTCCATTCTGTAGGTTGCCTTTTCACTGTGTTGATTGTGTCGTTTGATAAATAAAAGTTTGTAACTTTGACAAAATCCCATTTATTTTTGCTTGTATTGCCTGTGTTTTGATGTCATACCCGAGATATCATTGGCAAGTCCGATGCCATAAAGATTTTCCTCTGTTTCCTTTTAGCAGTTTTATATTTTTAGGTCTTAAATTTATGTTTTTAATCCCTTTTGAGTTAATTTCTGTGTATGGTATAAGTTAAGGGTCCAAAAATCAGGGAATATCCGATTTTTCCAACACCATTGTTGAAGATGTGAAAAGTTAACATAAGTGGAGCCATTTTTAAATAGAGCTCTGGCAGCCATTTCAGAGGAACTGCCTGCAAGTCTTACTCCTTGAACCTTTGGACTGTTTGAACTAGGCCAGATCTTTGGACTTAGCCAAAACCAATATTGTCTTCCAAACAACTGTTTGTAAAGCTAACAGGAAAGGAGACATCCTGACCACAAAAGTCAGGATGATTATGGACTCTCTTTCTGAAGATAGAATCGGTAACCAGCCGTGTATAGTTAAAGAATAACCTAGTTTATTAACACCTATAGAAGATTGTTTTTTCTCTTCTTTTCATGTAATTGCCCCTTTCCTTTCCCTGTAAAAACCCTCGTCTTTCACTCTGTAATTGGGACACTATTTGGGCTTCTACTTGAATCTGTGCTACTGGAATTGCAATTCTTCGATCCCAAATAAATGCTTTGCCTCTTAAACTGGTTTCTGTTTTTGAAGGTTGACAAGGAGACTATTCTTTCCTCTCTGAGTAGTCTTGGCACACTTGTCAAAGATTATTTAACCACAGTGACAAGGATGTATTTCTGAGTTGTCTATTATATTCCATTCATCTATTTCATCTAAATGTGCCAGTGCCACATTTTTTTATTACTGTACCTTTGTAAAAAGTTTTGAAACCAGAACATGTGAGTCCTCCAAAGTTGTTCTTTTTTAAAGTTCGTTTGCCTATACTGGATCGCTTGAGATTCCATATGAATTTTATGATGATTCTTTTCTTTTTTTTTTTTAATAATATTATTTATTTCGTTTTCCCCAAAGCCCCAGTAGATAGTTGTATGTCGTAGTTGCACATCCTTCTAGTTGCTGTATGTGGGACGTGGCCTCAGCATGGCTGGAGAAGCAGTGCCTCGGTGCGCGCCCGGGATCCGAACCTGGGCTGCCAGCAGCGGAGCACGGGCACTTAACTGCTAAGCCACGGGGCCGGCCCAATGATGATTATTTTCTATTACTACAACAAATGCCATTGGTATTTTGATACGGATTGATTGAATCTGTAGATTGCTTTGGATAGTATGAACATCTTAAGAATATTGTGTGCCCATCCATGAACATGGGATGTATTTCCCTTTATTTGTCTTTTTAAATTTCTTTCATCCATGTTTTGTAGTTTCATCGTATGAGTCTTTCACCTCCTTGGTTAGGTTTATTCCTAAGTATTTTATTCTTTTTTAAACTATAGAATTGTTTTCTTAATATACTTTTTGGATTCTCAATATTTTTGTATAGAAATGCACCTAATTTTTGTATGTTGATTTTGTGTCCTTAACTTTGCTGAATTGGTTTATTGATTCCAGCAGGTTTTTTTGGGGGGGTGGGGGATTCTTTAGGGTTTTCTACATATAAGATCATGTTAGCTATGAAGGGATATTTTTACTTCTTCTTTTTTTATTTGGATGTCTTTTTCTTGTCTTGCCTAATTGCTTTGGCTAGGAATCCCATACTTTGTTGAGTAAAAGTAGTGAGAGTGGGCATCCTTTCCTTGTCCTTCATTTTAGAAGAAAAGCTTTCAGTCTTTCACTTGAGTATGATGCTAGCTGTGGGCTTTTCATAAGTTGTTTTAATTATGTTGAGGTAGTTTCCTTTAATTCCTAGTTTGTTGAGCATCTTTATTATGAAAGGATATGTCAGATGCCTCTTCAGCATCTGTTTTAATAGATGATGATCTAGTTTTATTATCCTTTATCCTGTTAGTGTGGTACTTGCATTGATTTTTGAATGTTAAACCATTCTTGCATTCCAAGAATAAACCCCTATCGGTAATGGTGTATAATTCTTTTAATGTGTTGTTGAAATTGGTTTACTAGTATTTTGTTGAAGAAATTTGCAATATAACTTATCAGGAATTTTGTCTATAAAATTGTAGTTTTGTTTTTATTTTTCTAACTTTGATATTAGACTAATGCTGGCTTCACAGGATGAGCTTGTAAGTGTTCCCTCCTTCTCAATTTTTTAAAGAGTTATCAGGAAGATTGGTGTTAATTCTTCTTTAAATGTTCGTTAGAATTCTCCAGTGAAGCCTTCTAGCCCTGGGCTTAGCTTTGTTGAGAGGATTTTGATTACTAATTCAATCTCCTAACTCATTACTAATTTGTTTAGATTTTCTGTTTCTTAATTATTCAGTCTTGGTAAGATGTGTTTCTAGAAATGTATCCGTTTCATCTAAGTTATCCAATTGTTGCCAGACACTTGTTCATAGTATTCTCTTATAATCTTTTTTTATGTCTATGGCACCAGGTTAATGTCCCCTCTTTCATTTCTAAGTTCAGTTATTTGAGACTTTTCTATTTTTCTCTTATTTTACCTAAGGCTTTATCAAATTGTTGATCTTTTCAAAAAACTGACTCATATTTTCATTAATTTTTTTAATTTTCTATTTCATTTACCTCTGCTCTAATTCTTTATTATTTCCTCCCATCTGCTAGCTATGGGTTTTGTTTGTTCTTTTTCTAGTTTCTTGTAGTGTAAAGTTAGGTCGTTGATATGAGGTACATCTTTTTTAATATACTCCTTTAGAGCTGTAAACTTCCCTATTAGCACTGCTTTCACTGTATCCCCTAAGTTTTGGTACATTGTGTATACATTTCCATTTGTCTTAATATATTTTAAAATTTATTCTATGTTACACAAACAATCAATAACCAATCTATGGATAAGAAAGATAGAGTGATATTTATTGAGCCAATGCTGAGGATGAGCCTGGCAGTGCTATCTTCGCTAGAGAAGAATGCACTCTGGAGAAGTGTGGTTTACAGCATAGTTATATACTGTTTCAGAACAAAGAACATGCATCAAGCATGACAGGAATACATTTTTTTCCCCAAAGTCACAAGGAGATACTTTGCTGCAGTTTAGCATATACACAGCAGGTCAATTAGACTTGGTTCTCTGGGAAGAAAAGCTTATCTTCAAAGAAGTACTTGTATTGCCATCAGAGAAAGGGAGACATTCATTCCTATCTTTAAAGAGTGCATTCTTTGCTTTGGGAAAGTACTTGAAGCAGATGTACGATGCATGTTTGGAGGGCTATAAGTCAGGCTGTTCTGGAAAAAACAAGTTTTAGGCCAAATCAGGGTTAAACCAGAATGACTACCCCATATACCTCAATATGTGAAAACTTTTTATTATTTTTATTATCTTCATCATTTGTGATTTCTTCACTGACCATTTGTTGTCTAAGAATGTGTTGTTTGACCTTCTCCTTCTGACTGTTTTCACTTTGCATTATACTCTCAATGTCCATCCAGGTTGTCACAAATGGCTGGATTTCATCGTTTCTTATGGCTGAGTAGTATTCCATTGTGTATATATACCACATGTTCTTTATCCATTCGTCCATTGATGGGCACTTAGGTTGCTTCCAAGTCTTGGCTATTGTGAATAAC